ATGATCTGAAGTGCTCAGGATAGCCCCTATTTGATCCATCAAGTACTTCAGTATTCTCTTCAAAGCCAACAGAGCAAATGAATCCTGGCACATGAAGGGTCCGTACCTGCCAAGCTCACAGGCAACTATTGGGCGCCTCAGGATTTCCTGACTTAGAGTACAGTAGTTCCACTGGGCTACCAGTTCAGCATCTCTGTCAACCTAAGAAAGAAAACACACACCGTCACTCCAGCCTGCTCACGTGTAAGATGCATCTAATCCCGCACTGTGGCGGTGAAGGAGAAATGTCTTTCCCAAGTTCACGTATGATCGTGTGCTCCACAGTGGGAGTGTGTGAGGAGTTTATGAAACCTTGGAGGCGGAACCTTTGCAGGAGGAGGCAAAGCCCTGAGGGTGGGCTTGGAGGGTTTATACTTCACCCTACTTGTCCTGCACTCTGTCTGCTTCCTGAGTGCAGATGAAAATGGATCACTCAGCTGCCTCTCTGCCGCCTGCTCCCATGGACACTCTTTCGAGATGCATAAGCCAAAATAAACTTTTCCATAAGTTGCTTTGGTCAGGGCATTTTATCACGGCAGCAGAGAAGCAACTAATACACATACTGTGGAGTTTTTAATTTTAAAATCAGAATAATGACCCACACCCAGGAGCAGTAGTGACCATAAGCCAAGTATTTGAGAGTCTGAGGCAGGAGGATAAAATCTGAGGCCAGTCTGGGTAACCCAAAGAGATGCTAATTCTAAAAGAAAACAACCGAGCCTGTGGTAGGCCAGCTGGCACTGGTGCTTGCCTCTATGTTGAACGACATGAGTTTGTCCCTGGGACCCATATGGTAAAAAACAGAACTGACTTTTGTAAGCTAGCCTCTGACCTCTACATGTCTGCCACACACCCTCCAACTAAATCAATTAACGTATTTTAAAAAGTATAAAAGAAACCATGTAAACGGCTGGGATGCAGAGGGCGTGGCTCCATGGCAGGACATCTGCCTAGCATGCATGAGGCCCACTCTCCAGTGCATTAAGTAAGTTGATAATAAAAAAAAAATAGAATAGTGACATATGAACTTGGGACTTTAAAAAACTTTTAAGAAATTAGAGCAGGTGAGATGGCTCAGAGGTAAAAAACAAAACAAAATAAAACAAACAAACCCAAGTTCGATCTGACCGTTGGAACACACAGTGGGAAGAACCAGCTTCCAAAGGTTGTTCTCTGACCCCCACACATGCAGCACATAACGTAAAATTTTAAAAGGTTTTAAATTAGTATTATGTTAAATAAAGACCCACCAACACTCAACACACACAAAGCAAGTTCATACCCATCATTAAACTGTGTGTTACAAGCTTTAGAAAGAGCAGAATGGGGGAGGGAGAGGAGAAGAGGGAGGGGAAGGGCAGGGAGCGAACCACTCTGCACACACCAAGAGGTCCTCTACCTGATCGCCAGCCCTAGTACCAACACTAATGTCTATATTTACACCTAATACAATATAACTTCTTCCTGGTAACACCTAATACAACATCTTCCTGGGTTATGGAGAGGGCATAAATGTACCACATTTCAGGGCTGGAGAAATGGCTCAGTGTTTGAGAGCACTTGCTGCTCTAGCAGAGGACCCAGTTTGGGTTACCAATAACCATGTTAGGTAGCTCACAATTCCAGTTTCAGGGGACTCTAATGCCCTCTTTTGGCCCCCTTGGGTTCCTGCATACACATGGTGGACATAAACTTGTGTATTTATAAATAAATAAACAAATAGCAAAAAAAAAAGTGTCAACTTCTGATCATGATTTTGTCTTTCTGGTGGTTGGTCCCCAACCAGGATCTTATCTAGCCCCCATGAGCTGGATGTGGCTGCACACCTCTGATGCCAGCATTTGAGGCAAAGGCAGGTGGATCTCTATTGGTTTGAGCTTAGCCTGATCTACATAGAAAGTTCCAGGCTAGCCAGGACTATATAGTTACACTGTATTTCAAATAAAAAGTCACCACACATCTCACTTAGGACAAGTGATATTTCCATGGAACTTGGGAGCTGTGTGCCAAGGCAGGGGCAGACCCCCACCCCCATATCTGTATTCCTTCATAACAGGCATTGCAAATGGAAGCTCTAGAAGAGAGCCCAGAATAGTATACAACAAGCATTTAATAAGAACTTGGACAAAGTGGGTTAAGAAACTACTCTTCCTGATCATCCTTCCTTTTCGTTTCCCTTCTGAGATCAGGGTTTTTTGTTTTTATTTGTTTGGAGTGTTTGTTTGTTTGTTTGGTTGGTTTTTTGAGACAGGGTTTCTCTGTGTAGCCTTGGCTGTCCTGGAACTCACTCTGTAGACCAGGCTGGCCTCGAATACAGAAATCCACCTGCCTCTGCCTCCCAAGTGCTGGGATTAAAGGCGTGCGCCACCACCGCCTGGCTGTATGTTTGTTTTTTGACAACTCTTCCATTATTCCTTGTCAGCCCTGGGCACAAGGGGACAACAGTAAGATGAATACTTTTATGCACACATGAATGTGCACTCTCTCCTCAGACTTTCAACACATGCTCAGTGCTCAGTGGATACACAGAGACATCTTAGAGAAAGCAGCGCTGAGCCATGCAAGGACCGCAGAGCACGTGGGAGAGAGAGGCGCAGTCGATGACCACAGAGTCAAGTGATCATAGAAAAGAAGGGAAAGCAGCAGAGGGGGTGGGGCCTAAACAGTGACTGCAGTTGACTGTGACGAAGGCTCAGTGAAGAAATGAGGGGAAAGAGCCAAGGAGCACACACTGTAACCCAGCACTGAGATGGCTGGGGGAAGCCTGGGCTACCTAACAGCAAAACCTTGCCTCAAGGGGTCCCCTCCCTCCAAGTAAGAACTGAATAGAAAAAGTAGTGATGTCACTATGAGTGAGGAATGTTCAGGTCGCAGGGGCAAGGCCTACGTTATCTAGAACAGAGTGAAAGAGCTAAAGAGGGGCAGAAGGTGAGGGCAGAGAGACAAGCAGAGGTTTGTTAGGAACGTGTCAGGAAATTATGCAGTGTCTTAAGTACAACACTGACTGGGATTCGCCTCCCATCCCAGAAGTTCTCCAAATGCTGGATCAGAACACATAATCCTCCCCACGCTGAGAACTGTATCGGGGGTATTCCGTGCCTTATATTATTAAACAGTCATCATCAACAATAGCTCTGAAACGCACCTAACTGGATAGGAACAGTGGTTCACAACCCTAGGCCATATCACTTTAGTGGTGAGAACTAACTTTCCAGTACTTATTTTCCCCTGCCATTACATTAGTGTGGAACTATACAATTCGCTCAATGTCTTGTAAGACTTACGGACTGTTCACTAATTTATTCAAAAATATTCATTGTACTAGAAATTGTGCTAGTTCTGGAAGAAAAACAGTGTACAGAGTCCACCAGTAGGGGCTCGCAGTCCCATGGGGATCAGCTGGGATTAACTACCAATTCAGTGTGCTAAATGCTGACATAGTTTAATAAGGGTCTCACTTCACATAAGGGAACGGGTTCGGGAAGTCTTTAATACACAAAGTTCAGGCTGGAGAGATGGCTCAGTGGTTAAGCCTTTGTACTGATCTTCCAAAGCACCCGAGTTTGATTCTAACAGCTAAGTTTGATGGCTCACAAAAACCTGTAGCTCCAGCTCCAGGGGATCAGATGCTTTCTTCTGGTCTCCTTGGATTCCACACTCACGTATATATACACACACAACACTAAAAAAGAAAGTATTCTTCAAATACTAAGGCTTGGTAGCCCACACCTTTAATCCCAGCACTCAGCAGGCGCCGGGGTGGGGGAAGTTCCAGCCAGCCAGAGCCACATAGTGAGAGCCTTTCTCAAAAAACAAACAAAACTACACAAAGTCCATAAATAACATCTATCACCATAATCGTCGCTACCTGCAGGTGCGTCCCAGTCCTGACTAGGCCACTAGCTCTGCAGTCTCTGTACTTTTTAGTGTTAATGTTTACATATTAACACAGCGTCTGTTGGGAGGATTCCCCACTCTAATCCTACTGTTCAGTGACTGCAAACAGTAAACCCTCCATAAGCGCCGGTAGACACTGCTCATCCCGAGCCCCGCAGTCCGCACTGACCTTCTCGACCTTCTTCGGCCCCTTCACCAGCTCGTGCCTCTTGGGGATTGTGCCTCCGTCGCAACCCATCCCAAAGCCGGAGTTAGAAGCCGCAACAAAACCCAGATACCTCAGCAAACACTATAAGCCGTCTCTTCCGGGGTCTCTGGCGAAACCCTACCTACTTCCGGCTCTCCTTGATGACGCACATAAACGGCGCGTGGCAAGGGGGCGGGGTCACCCTCTGAGACCTTCATCGGCATCAGTTGTCTTGAAAAAGTTGTCCGGAGTTGGGCGTGGCTTCAGGGAGGCGTGCTGGAACGTCCTTGGAGTGCGTCCACTTCCGGCCATGGGCGGGCCCTTCTTTTTTCCCTATGGGTCCCGGGACTTAGGCTGGGTCGTGTGAGCTTGGGCTTGAGGGCGTACTGGGGAGTGTCTGTCATGGTAGTCCCGAGGTCTGCGTCCTTGGCATTTTTTGCAGACCTGGGCAAGCTTTGCTGTAAGTCTAAGGATGAGATGGACGGAACCTGGCATTTCGGCTACCTCTCCTGTATTTTAAATCTCAGAAAAGACGTGAGGTGGGTGGGCCTGCTTGTGCACTACGTGAATGCAGATGCTTGTCGAAGCCAGAAGAGGGTGTTGAATTTCCCTGGGACTGGAGTTGTATATATATGGTTGTGAGCTACTGGGGTTCTGGAAATCCAACCTGTGATCCCTCAAAGAACCGCAGACACTCTTAGCCACTGAGCACCTCACCACCCTGTATCCAGATGTCTTCCAACAAGCTAAGCGTAGCCAGTCATCCCATTGTGTCAGTTAAAGAGATTAGTGACAGTGCAGGCAGAGAGAGTGTGACCGTATTGGGAAGAGAACAAAAAAGGGGTTCAGTGACTCCCTCGTCTGTCTTTGGGGCACCAGCATGAGCTGTAGGCCCAGAGGAACTACAGAGGCCAACGGTATAAGTAAGCAGTCCTGGGCTACGTATGGCCTCCTTCATTTCTGTGTCTGTGCCAGTCTTAAGGTGTCCAGTCTGAAGTCCCCACTGCTTAAAGTGACTAGATAGTCTCAGAAGACCATCTTTTCTGGGTTTTCACCCTCACTTAGGGGAGTGCTGTGTCCTCTGGGGCTCTGCTGCTCCTAGGATTCTAGGTGATTGCAGGCCCAGAAAAGTGACTTACATTTGTGCCTTCAGATTTTTGAATTATGTTGAGTTCAAGGCTAGTCTGAGCTTACATGGCATGTACTAGGGCCAGCCTAGGCAACAGAGTGAGACATTGTTTCTCAAAAGAAAGGGGGGGGCATGGATATGTTTCAGTGGTAAGTCATGTTTTTCTAGTGTGTCATAAAGCCATGTGCCATACATACAGGAAAGAGAAAGGGATAGCGCTAAATACCCTCCACTTGGGGATGGGTCTTTGAAGGGAGAGAGTCACACTTAGGTGTCTTAACAGTAGTTGTACATCTGATTTTGTGGTTTCTGAAGCTATATAGCTCAAAGGATGCAACTTGCCACAGAGTGCAGAGACCAAGCAAAGGTTAAAAGATTAAGTACAAAATTACGAGCTGGTTCTCTTAGTTTCCCGCCATGGGTGTGTTGCTGGGGTTTTAGGGGTGAGAGAGGTGTGCTGGTCCAGAGAAGCCCAAAGACTCACAAGTAGTCTGTCCTTACGGAAACATAGTCTGGTGGTGGTGGTGGTTTGCAGAAAGGTGGAACTCCCTGTGTAGCCAAGGGTGATCTTGAACTTCTTTTTTGTTTTTGTTTTTTTGTTTTTGTTTTTGTTTTTTTTCGAGACAGGGTTTCTCTGTATAATCCTGGCTGTCCTGGAACTCACTCTGTAGACCAGGCTGGCCTTGAACTCAGAAATCCACCTTCCTCTGCCTCCCAAGTGCTGGGATTAAAGGTGTGCGCCACCACCGCCCGGCGATCTTGAACTTCTGATCCTCCTGCCTCCATCTCCTCAAGGCTGGGATAACAGGTGTGCACCACCACACCCAGTTATGTGATCCAGGGAGTGGCACCCAAAGCTTTGTGTGTGATAGGCAGACACTACAGCCAACGTGAGAGGGCGGCACTTACATTGTTTTTAACAGCCCTGGTGTTTTGTTTGAGGCTGGGTCTTACTATGGCTGGCCTGGAGTTCAGTATGTAGACCAGGCTGGCCCCAGAACCCATGGAGATATGGCTACCTCTGCATCTTAAGTCCTGGGATTTAAGGGATGTACTACCACTCTTGGCTTAATGTAGTTATTTAATGTAGCTCTTTGAAAAGGAATGTTGCGGGGTGGTGGTGGCGCACGCCTTTAATCCCAGCACTTGGGAGGCAGAGGCAGGTGGATTTCTGAGTTCGAGGCCAGTCTGGTCTACAGAGTGAGTTCCAGGACAGCCAGGACTACACAGAGAAACCCTGTCTCGAAAAACAAAAACAAAAACAAAAAACAAAACAAAACAAAAAAAAAAGGAATGTAGTCTCTGGGCAATCACCAAAAAAAAAAAAAAAAAAGGAATATTCTTCCTCCTCCTCCTCCTCCTCCTCCTCTTCCTCTTCTTCCTCCTCCTCTTTCTCCTGCTCTTCTTGAGACAGGGGCTTACTGTGTAGCCCTGACTAGCCTTGAACCCACAGAGATCCATCTACAAGCAAAACTGATTTGTCTGTTATGATGCGTTACTCTCTGAAAGATTTGAATCGACACTAGATAAGAGTTTCCCCACTTCCAATGTCCCTTTAAATTATCCTTTCTATCTATCCTGCCTCCGTAACTGTATATTAGAATTTTCAAAAGTCTTTAAATTTTATTTTTATTTTATGTGTATGAATGGTTTGCCAGTGTGACGTGTGTAGACTACAGCTCATGTGCAGAGGTCAGAGAACAGTTTACAGAGCTGGTTCTGTCTTTCCACCGTAAGGTTCCTGTGGATCACCAAGCACCTTCATCCACAGATCTGTCTCACCCACTGCCCCAAGAAGTTTCATAAATATTATTTGTTTGGGTAGTGGCACATGCCTATAATCCTAGCACATGGGAAGATGGTGGTTTTGAAGCTAGCCTGGGCTATACAGCAAGACCCTCTCTTTAAAAAAAAAAAATGTATTTGCATCAAAACAGATACATGATCCCCAGTGGAAGCTCGATTAGTGGATCGTCACCGCTTCCATCCTCTTGGTGGAGCGAACATAATCAAGGCCAAGTTGCTGTCACCACCACCCACCGTTTCCTCTTTCTTCTCGTAGAGGAAATGGTACAGAATGTTGCATATTAGAAAAAAACATACTCATCAAGAAGTCTCCAAAAGCTGAGCAGATGCATTTTATTCTAAAGCCCCAGGCAGTCTTCTGAAATGAGTCTGGGCGGGCTTGCTGCACAAAAGGGAAGGAAGCAGCTGCAGCCAAGAGCCGTGTGTTTCATGATTTTGTACAGAATGGATTTGCTCTTTGTTGACAAGGATTTTCTTGGCTTGCCCATAGGGTCTCACACAGTGCAGGCTGGCCTCAAAATGACCTTGAAGTCCTGTCGATTCTTCCCCTCCCCGTCTAGGAGGTACTGGACATGGAAACCAGGGCTTTCCTCCTGCACACTAAGCACACACCATAGCAACTTACCCGAATCTCTTGACAACAGTTCTTGGATTGAACAAAACTCAAGAAATTTAAAGATATGAAAAGCAGCACCAGGTCACAGGTCGCTAGGCTCTCTGTCACTGGGGAAAGGCGGGGTTCAAGTTGTTGTGGCATTAGGACAGTGCTGAGCCGAAGAACCAGTGCAAGTAGATGCTGTTATCGTTGAGTGATAGACGTTACCCTTTGATTCCCTATGGCACTCCCTGCGTCCAGATACATCCCGTCCCTGCGTCTAGCTGCCACTCCAACCTTGCAATGGGTGTCTTCTATTTCTGCATATCTGGGCAGACCATGTGGCATTTTGTTCTGAATTATCTTCTCAAGGATCTGTGGCTCACAACCTTAAAAGATAAAGATAGTTTCTTCCTCCAGATTGCAGGACAGCTTTTATTTTTGCTAAAACAAAACAAATCAAAACCCATCCATCCATCTATCTACTGATAGACATTATTTTTTTGATAGGGGATCACTGTATAGCCCTGGGTGGCCTGTAACTTGCTATGAATACCAGGCTGATTTCAAATTCACAGATATATCTACAGATAGATGTATCTATATCTATAGATATCTATATAAATAGATATAAGTGTAATCTTTGGGGGGGGGAGTGCTCAAGACAGGGTTTTTTTTTGTGTGTGTAGCCCTGGCTGTCTTGGAACTTGCTTTTTAGATCAGGCTGGCTTCAAACTCACAGAGATACACTTGTGACTCTGCCTCCATATATATTTTTTAAACTGAGACAAAATCTAACTAAATAGCCCTGGCTGCCCTCAACTTGCAGCAATCCTCCTGCCTCTGCTTTCCAAGTGCTAGCTGCTGAAAATCAGATAAATAATGGTATCTTAGAGACACAGCTCCACCGGAGATGCTTAGGGTCTGTTGTAAAATTCGAGACATTTCTAAACTTAGAGATTCCTGGCTCTGATACAAACCTGTTGTGTCCAGCCTTCATGTGAGCCTACCCCTAAATCCCACCTTGGGGCTGAAGGGACATGAATCAATCAGTGTGAAAGGAAGCGCCAGTTGCTTTTGATGCTGCCAACCCTGGTCTCTGGGCAGATGTAGGTCTGTGCAGTGTGCCTGGCTGCCACGCTTAGGAGAGGCAGCTCCAAGGGTGGCTCTTCATCAGCACATGGGACCTTGGAATTGGGAAGGCTTTTCATCGTTCCCAGAGTGGCTAAGCCTGGCTCTCTTCACCTAAGCTACACATATAGTGTGATTCAGTCTAACCATCTGCTTTCCCTTGCTTTCCCCTGGATAGTGGCACATACTCTTAATCCCAGCACTTGAGAAGCAGAGGCAGGAGGATCTCTGTGTGTTCAAGGCAAGCCCTGTCTACAGATTGAGTTTCAGGACAGCCAAGGCTACACAGAGAAACCCTGTCTCATAAAAGAAACAAAAAGAAACAAGACATAGGTCTAAGCATGACTGTCCTGCATCCTGTAAGTCCCCTCATGACTAATTATGTCACAGGGTTACTAGAGACACACTCACATAGTCTCTTCTCCCAGAACCTCCAATCTTTATTTCTGCATCCAGAACTGGCAGGAGGAATCCTTAGATGCGTCAATACTGGCACACAGGACCAGTGGTTATGGTTACGTGTGTGTGTGTGTGTGTGTGTGTGTGTGTGTGTGTGTGTGTGTGTAAAACAGAAATCTGTGAATGTGAGAGAGAATAGAGTTGCAGAGGAGATGTGTATGCATGTGAGTATGTCTGTGAGTGAGTGTGTGTGGGTATATGGGTAGTCATATTAATTTGAGTGATGTGTGTGCACATGTGTGAATAGGTTATTCACACTGTTGGGGCAGGCACCTGATTTAAGGTAGTATAACCAAAAGGAAGTCCCTCTCCTCTGGTGATAATCCAAGACAGCCATCTTGCCACCACAGGAGTGTGGACCTGGAAACTGTCCCTTGACACCATTGGAGGCCCTGTGGCCAGTTGGCTCCAGCGTTTTCCTGCATTGCTAAGATGGAGTGGGCCCAGCTTCTGTTACAGCAGGATCCTAACAGGTGAGATCCTGCTCTTCAGAATGTGACACCCCCACCTCTACCCCAGGCCCCTCAGCGACTGAGTCTAAGACACAAAAGGGGACGCTTGTTTTAGGGTCTTGAGATGGCAGCTGCTACAGGCAATGGTTTCTTGTCTGTTTGCTTGAGATAGAGTCCCCAACTGCTCCCTTTTCTAACCCTTCTCCCTACTGTCCCATTTATTCCCCTCTGTCACCTTGTTTTGTTTTTTTGAGAGAGGGTCCCATGTAGTCCAGGCTGGCTTTGAACTTCTGATCTTCCTGCTTACCTTCCAAGTATTGGAATTACAGATATATACCACTATACCTAGCTCTACACTCAACACGACAATTTATTATTTCTGTATATGTAGCTGGGTGGTGGTGGTGGCCCACATCTTTGATCCCAGTGCTCAGGTGGCAGAAGCAAGTGGATCTCTGTGAGTCTGAGGCTAGCCTGCTCTACAGAGTTCCAGGACAGCCAGGGCTACACAGAGGAACCCATGTCTTGAAAAAAAAACATATATACATATACATATACATATACATATACATATACATATACATATACATATATACTGGCTGGATTTGTGTGTCAACTTGACACAAGCTGGAGTTATCACAGAGAAAGGAGCCTCCCTTGAGGAAATGCCTCCATGAGATACAGCTGTAAATCATTTTCTCAATTAGTGTTCAAGGGGGGAGGGCCCAGCCCATTGTGGGTAGTGCCATCCCTGGGCTGGTAGTCCTGGGTTCTACAAGAAAGCAAGCTGAGCAAGCCAGGAGAAGCAAGCCAGTAAGTAACATCAGTTCCTGCTTCCTGACCTGCTTGAGTTCCTTTGGTGATGAACACGTGTGTGTGTGTGTGTGTGTGTGTGTGTGTGTGTGTGTGTGTTCTCATGCAGCATATGTACAAGTGCCCTCAGGGCCTAGAAGACATTGGATCTCCTGGAGCTGTGGTTGCAAGCAGTTGTGAGCTGCCCAGTGAAGGTTCTAAGATCTGAACTCAGGTCCTCTGGAAGAGCAGAAAGTGCTCTCTGGCCCCTACATCAACATTTTAAAAAAAGGATTTATGTTCATTCCATGTATATGAGTGTTTGCATGCATGACTATGTGTGGATGTATGTTTGTATGTACATGTATATGCATGTATGCATGCATTGCACCACTTCCATACTTGCTGGCTAAGGAGCCAGAAGAGATCAGATCAAATGGTTGAGTCTCCTGTGAGAGTAACAAGTCCTCTTAACCACTGAGCTGTCTCTCCAGCCCTTACAGTCAATATATTTAAAGTGCCCACCACATGCAGATAAGACAGAAGTTCAACTTGGCACCTCTGTAGGAGACAACCTGGGGATGCTTTCTTCTGTGAAGGTATCCTGTGCTCAGGAGGGACAGGAGCCCTCCCATGGCGAGAAGCGTAAGGTAACCATAGTAGCATGAGGTGAGAGGCAGAGATACAGGGAGAGAGAAAGGAAGTGGTTTGCAGGAGAGGAGCTTGGTAACACTTCCAGAGCTGTGACCCACTGTGGATGTCATCTGCTGGCCGGACTTTCCGCCCCACTCCGGGAACACACCAATGATGGGTTTGCTTTCCAGCCCACACCAACACATACAAACTTGCACACTCCCTGCAGATGCATTCAAAATGGAGGCATCTTTAACAAACACTTCACTTTGTTACCAGCACCCAGGTGACACGGCTAAGAGACCTTTTCAAAGAAAGGATTGCTGCCAGGGTGCTCATATGGTTTAAGTTTTTAATTACAAGTTTCGTTTTATCTTGTGTGTGGATGTCTGAAGACAGTTATGAGGAGTCAGTTCTTTCCTTCCACCACATGGGTCCCTGGGATAGAACTCAGGAAACCAGATTGGGGGTAGGTGCCTCTACCTCCTGAGCCATCTCTCAGGGCCTTGCAAATGTGTTTAATCCCATGATTATAGATAAATAATATAACAGATTTGAGACTAGTGAAATATAAACCTAACTGAACAGGGGAACCAATTGATACAGGATTTGTAACACAAAATAAGTTAGTAGGGGACCCAACAGCACATAACCATCGTCTCTTACGGAGTATATAACCATCATCTTTGGGGTGAAGTAACAGCAAAGATACATTTCGGGGGACTAGGGGTCAATCTTTGTGGCAAAGTACATGCTTAGCATTTGTGAAACCCTAGATTCAGTTTCTAGCAACACATGCACACACACACACACAAATGCGTGCACGCACATTCATGAATATACAATTTGAATATATCTCACAGTATTAATCTAAAACAACTGATAAAAAAGGCAAACTCATTACTTTTGGGGACGCTTAAAAAAAATAGGTTCTCAATATATAGCCTTTGGCTTGTGGCTCACTGTGGACTAGTCACATTAAGGTCTGTCTGTCCACTTCTGCCTCCTGACTGCTAAACTTAAGTCGTGATCCCCGCACTTTCCTAAAGAACGCAACAGGAATCAATCCTTTGGGGAAAGTTCTTTTCTCCTTCTCCATTCTCCCTCTTTCCCAGTTTCTTTTCTCATGAGCATCGAACAGACTACAGATAATTCTTTGTCCCTTCCCAATCAGATGGTGACTCTGGGAGGTCAGAGCCTTTGACACGCTGCTGTCTCTTCAGCCCCTTGACCTTGACCTTAGGTGCTGCCTAGTAAGTGTAGAATGACTGTAAACCACACACACATTTGACTGACACAAAACATGGCTTCTACAATGCCACTTCCCCTGACGATGCTGTATACCTTGGGACAGTGAGTTCAGCATCTCAAGGTCCTGCCTCTCTTTCTTGACCTCCTCATGGACCTTTCTTTCTGTGTTCTGCCCACTGGGAGACCTTACCACTGGGGTAAGAGAGGTCAGACTCTAGAGAAGAGCCTCCTTCAGAGGCTTAGCCACTTACTAACACTGGTTCCGAGACCCATGGCTGTTTCAGCCATTCTGATTGGCTTTTCCACAGAACAGAGTGGTGAGTATGAAACTTGCAGGAGTTGACCTCCATCAGCTTCATTCCAATGTGTCTCTGAATTTCCGAGAGTGGTGCTCTAGTTTCTCCACCTCTGATTGGAGGAGGCTCAGAGCACTGGGGCTCGGGTACTGGATCACTGCAGTCTTGGTGGCCAGAGCCATGTCCTTGAGCAGGCCACACAGGTGACTGCTGCCACACAGAATCTCATTTCGCTCATCTTTCTCCTGGGTCTCACTGCACAGTGTGTCCACCAGCTTCTGCCCAACCGTGATGACCAGCTTGCTCTGAGTGATGAAGACCTCGGGGGGTTGGCTGTTGCTGAGGCTGCTGGCAAAGACACTGATGGCTTTGAAGAGTGCTCCGAAATAGAGCCTGCTGTGCTCAGACAGGTGGATCTTCCTCTCTGTGTTCTGCCCACTGGGAGATGGGGTAACAGAGGTTGGACTCTAGAGAAGAGGAAGGAGAAAATGTATAAGGGCTAGAACCACCAGCTGATTGTCTTTCCTTTCCTGTCTTGGCTCAATTTGCGAGAACCCTTATTAGAGAAATCAGACTTGTTAAGGAAATGCAGAGCTGGCTGTGACATTTGTCTAACAAATGAGTGTCAATGTTTGCTTGCTTTCTTGTGTTTTGTTTTGTTTTGTCGAGACAGGACTTCTCTGTGTAGCCCTGGCTGTCCTGGAACTCCTTCTGCAGACCAGGCTGGCCTGGAACTCACAGAGATCTGCCCACCTCTTCCTCCCGAGTGCTGGGATTGAAGGCATATGGCCACAATCACTTGGCTCGAATAGCAGTGTTTTCAAAGCACTGTTCCATATACAGCTGTATGTATTCTTGTGTTATTACAGATTGCAACACAGTTGTGTGTATTATTTTACTCAACCACCTCTGTAAACCATAAGAAACACATTCTAAGGAACACATCGATAATGATAAATTTGGAACTTTCAAGCATTCAAGGGGTGAGGAACTGGTTGTTATCTCCTCTCTTTGGAGTTAGAAGGAAGAGTGCCCGTTCAAGACTGGCCTGACTTATGTGGTGAGCCCCATTTTCCAGGCAGAGGGTAGAACCAGTAAGACACACAGAGACAGACAGACAGACAGACAGACAGACATTGCATCATGAGCATCTTGGTTTGAAAATGAAAAATGTAGCTGGGTCAGGAATCAGGGAGGAAGCTAATATCTCTTAATGAGGGACTGCTGTGAGCTGTAGGAAGTTAGCTGGCAGAGGCCCTGGGAAGCCAAATGGTGCATATCACCCATGAAGGATGTGAGGATGGTGCATCCCATACATGAAGGATGTGAGGATGGTACATCCCATACATGAAGGATGTGAGGATGGTGTGACCCATACATGAAGGATGTGAGGATGGTGGGTCCCATACATGAAGGATGTGAGGATGGTTCGTCCCATACATGAAGGATGTGAGGATGGTACATCCCATACATGAAGGATGTGAGGATGGTGTGACCCATACATGAAGGATGTGAGGATGGTGCGTCCCATACATGAAGGATGTGAGGATGGTGTGACCCATACATGAAGGATGTGAGGATGGTGCATATCACCCATGAAGGATGTGAGGATGGTGCATCCCATACATGAAGGATGTGAGGATGGTACATCCCATACATGAAGGATGTGAGGATGGTGTGACCCATACATGAAGGATGTGAGGATGGTACATCCCATACATGAAGGATGTGAGGATAGTACATCCCATACATGAAGGATGTGAGGATGGTGTGACCCATACATGAAGGATTTGAGGATGGTGCATCCCATACATGAAGGATGTGAGGATGGTACATCCCATACATGAAGGATGTGAGGATGGTGTGACCCATACATG